GGCTGCACCCCACCTCCAGACCACTATCATTTGAGTGTCCGGCTTCCAGGAAACTGGGCGAGATATCTTCAGGCCCCAAGCACTGGTTCCTCTTTCCAGAGGGGAACAAGGGTGTTCCTTTATTTTAGACTGTCAGGGCCAGTATAAGCTCCGAGAACAGGGTTAAAGAAGGAGTCAGTTTAGCTCCGCAAATACCATCAAGTACTTATTGTGTGGACTACATATCCCACGAGGCACTGGGACTAAGTGCTAAGTCGAACACTCTGCCAACAAGAGGCAGATAGGGCCTCCCAAGGAGTCACAAGTGCTGTGTTGAGTGATGAATTTGGGCAGTTTAGAAATGGACAACGGAGAGTTGGGTTGTGTCTATTGTGTGGCTTTGCCTGGGGAGAGGTGAACAAGTATCTCTTCACTCCCGTTAGGGTACCACCAACAGACAAGCCTAGCGATGCCACACAGGTCTAGCCCCGTGAGTCAGTGGGTTTATTGGGTTTACTTACAGGGAGGGAGTTGCTTGCAGGAGCATGGATGACTCAGAAGCAGGCTGCATCACTTCAAAGCCACCCTAGCATGGGTGAGGACTCATCAGAGCAGCATCTCAGGAGTTCCCGGTCACAGATGCAGGCAGTTTGGTTTGCCAGGGCTGTTTCTTCCACAGCGACTGTTAACTGCTTGTGTAAGCTTGCAGTAGAGCCCGGGGAATCTCCTAAGCTTCAGCTCCCCTGGCCCTGGAAAAGTTTTCCTTCCTGCCTTTCCTGGGCCGGCCTTCCTCCAGTGTAAGAGCGGCATTCTGGTCAGTTACGCCAATCCCGAGGCCAGGGAAGTGTGGCCATAAGGCAATACTCTGAAGCACTCAGATGAGTCTCCCACAGAAACCAAAGCCAGTTCCTCAGGCGGGGAGTAAGCATAAGGCAAATCACACGGCTATAACCACCGACAGAACTGGGCCCTCAGTGTGTGCCCTGCTTTGAACACGTCATCTCCTTCAGTCCCCGTGCCCTAGAAGTCCTGGTCTGTTCCAGTCCCATCTTGTGGACAGGAAACCAAAGCATGAAGAATTTAGTCTTGTGCACATTGGCCTGCGGCTGAAAACAGTCCCATGTCTTCCCCGCTGGGCTCTGGGCAAGGGTACTAACATCAGCAAGGGACCAAAGGCTGAGGCTGGTCATAGACCCCAGCTGCTGGTGGCTCCAGAGCCCACTCAAAAACCCCTCCTGCTGTGAAGATGTCTCCTTGGAGTTGAAACACTCCCTTCTAGCTGGGAGGTTGGGGGCTCCTAAGGCCCAGAGGCTAAGGAAACTTAGAAGACCCAGAAAGCCTGAGTTCCAGGATCACAGGCCCCTCCCCGGTGTTGTGGAAGCAGCCGTGCTCAGGGAGGAGAATCTGCCTTCAAGTTGTGCCAGGAGCCATCCTGCTTTTGTGAGTCATCACTGATGCTAGCCTGGGCTTTGCACCTGCCTTTGAGTCCACACTCCAGTAACCCCTATACACTCGCTTGGTTCACTAGTCCAAACTTGGAGGAATTGTTTCTATGGTCTGCCATTGGAATCTTATCTGGGGTGGACAGACATTTGCACTCATCTCCAAGTGAGGAGCGTTTTGACCTAATGTCCTGTCTTGGCTTGGGCGGCAGAGACAAACAGGGCAGACCAGGTTTAAGCAGCACACACTGACGTCTTGCTGTTCTGACAGCTCAAGATCAGGACTCCAGCAGGGGAAGGGGCTGGGGAGGACCTGCTTCCTGGTTCACGCAGCTTCCAAGGTGAAAACCATCTCTCCGTCCTGTGACACTCTTTCCATTCATGCAACTAACCCAGTCACTTCTAGTGCCCTCCCCCCACCACCACCACACTAGGGACCAGGACTTCAATAGATGATTTTGGGGGGATGGGCACGCAAACATTCCGTCCAGAGTAGACACTTCCCCCTCTGCTTAAATTACCCGTTGCCCCATTTTTCTCAAAGAGTGGAAGGAGAAGAGGACAGGAAATGGTTAATAAGGAGGGTGAGGGAAGTGAGGGGTTAGGAGGCCAACTTGGGTAGAACTAGGCATGCCGAATGCTCTCCGAACAAGTCTTGACTTCTGTCTTATTTCACCTCTGCGGACTATAGAGGCACACTGTAGACTATAGGCAGCTCTCCCAATAACAGCGCTAAGTGGTGGTAAGCCAGACGCAGAGGAGGGAGATGGACTGGTGGTAACGAAACTACAGACAGCCCAGGATCGTTTGGGCTCTGGTTCTGCAACAGCCAAACTCCACAATCGTGGAGATCTAGTTGATCAGTCTGTAGCATCTTCAACATAGGCATGGCATTTTAGGGAACTCGGCTCACAGCCCTTTGTGTTTATGCCGTGCTGAGCACCTGTTAGCCCACACCCCAACAAGCAGAACCAGACCTCCACCTGCTCTCATTATGAGCCTCCTTGTGCTCACGTGCTTGGAGTTCCTCCCCTGTCTCATATGGGCAGAAAGTGTTGTACCAACTATGCCAGACCTCGCTCCTGCCATCTCCAAGCCTAGGATAAGAACCTAGCCTCAGCAAGGCTTCCTCAGTCCTATGCCTGTAAGAAGCAGCCTCTAAGGCCTGGGATCTCTAGCAAAGTTGACAGAGACACCGGCCTAAACCCCAAGCTCCTGCCCCAGAGGAGACTAGCCTCCACCCCCACCCCAACAGCCTCCCCTTAACCCCAGTGGCTGTTCCTCATTCTCCCGTAGGCATTTTCGGTTCCTAAGGCTGTGGTTGTGGGTGGCTGTCAGTGCCCCATGGTCGTATGGCCTTTCTCTAGCTAGGAGTCTCTCAGTTCTCTGGAGCTGTGGTCCTTGGGCACGGTGATCTGCAAAGGGAGTACCTTTCAAGACTTCTGTCTGTCCAGCCTGTTCTCTTCTCTCCTCACCATCTGCTTGCTCAGCACAACATGATTCCCAGCCTCGTCTCCAGCTGGGCTTCTTCCCATGAACAGCTTTTACTACTTTGTGGAGTCTTAAGTTTCACCACACACTTACCCACCCCTTGGGCAGTTGTGTACTTGACTCAGCCTCAGTGACCCACCATCCCTAGCTCTGGCCAGTGGGAATGAAAGAAAGCTTCTGGAAGATGCCCTCAATGCTAACAGGAAGACTGCTACAGCGTTCTCTTGCTCTTCTCTCTGCCCCCCCAAAATGTGAATGTGTCTTTGGAGAACTTCAGACGCTTGTGGCAAGCAGCAGGAGTCGCTGAACCAAAACTGCTGAAGATGGCAGACAACAAACAGACTGTAGTCCCTGAAGACGACGTTGAGACACCGAATAAACTAGGTTTCAGACTATCAGTATCTGGGCTTTTCATTACGTGAGATAATGAAGTCTTCTTTGTTTGTTTCTTTTTGCCTAAAAGAATCTTAAGCCACAGTGCAGCTTATGTGTCCTTCCAAAGGTTTGGCAGAGAGAAAAATGGACAGAATCAGGCTTCCTGCTTGTTATATAAAGTTTTATTGTCAAAGCAACACCCATTCATTGCCTTATGGTCTATGGTTACTTTTGCTTGAGTGGTTGCAACACAGATGCGGTGCCTTGAAAATATGAAAACAATTTCATTGCCTCTTCACAGAAAATATTTGCCAAGCCCTAACATAGACTCATGAGTCCGAAGAGGAACAAAAGTCCCCTGAGCCGGGCGGTGGTGGCGCACGCCTTTAATCCCAGCACTCGGGAGGCAGAGCCAGGCGGATCTCTGTGAGTTCGAGGCCAGCCTGGTCTCCAAAGCGAGTTCCAGGAAAGGCGCAAAGCTACACAGAGAAACCCTGTCTCGAAAAACCAAAAAAAAAAAAAAAAAAAAAAGTCCCCTGAATTGTCATAGGCGACGCGAGTACATTAAAGCATGAAACCCCAGCAGCATGTGGTTACCTGATTGTGAGTTCAAGGGTAGCCTGAGCTAAATAATAAGACTCTAGCCAACATACAAGGAAAAGAGGCTGCCTCCATCCTGGAGTCCTGGAAGGCCTGTTATGGGCATACACTCTCTGCATGGAGTCTGTCCTCATGGGGACATGAGGCAATGTGGACTACTGTTCACACTCCAGGATAGGTCATCATTGCCTATGATGGTTAATTTCAGGTACCAGCTTGGCTAGCCTATGGGCCCAAAGGCCCAGCTGTCGGATCAAACCCCAGTCTAGTTGCTATAGGGAAGATATTTTAAATGATATTAACATGTAACTTAATAGGCCCTTGAATAAAGAGATTGGCTTCTGTGGTGCGGGCAGGGTCTCACTTGATCAATTTATGGCCTTCAGAGAAAAGATTGAGTGAGGTTTATGACACAAACACATCTCTGCCTGCCATTTTGCTCAGGAGTCTGCTAAATTCTCAGCTCAGTGGAGGGCAGACTTCAGATTGCAACATCAACCCTTATCTTAATCTCCAGCTGTGGGTCCTGCCTAACAGACATTCCATTCATCAGCCCATAATCTCCTGAGCCACTTTCTTGGGCGACTGGTTCCAGTCCACTGTGGATACCCAAATATGCAGATACTCAAGACCCTTAATGAATGTGATATTTCCATGTAAGTCACATGTATGCTTCTACATACTCTGAATGACCCCATTCACAGTGTGAGCATGATATAAGTAATTTCCACACTGTAAAGCATAGGGACTAATAACAGGGGAAATCCTACAGAGTTCCATACAGTTGCAATGATTTTCCTGCAACTCCAGTTAGTCAGACGTGGAGGATACACACTGACCACCAGCTGTATACATGTCTTAGCCGTACTGTTTCTGTGGGGAAGCCTAATGAACACACTGCTTATTCTGCTCTCACAGCTGTAATGACAACGTTTATCCCTTTCACCCAGAGAGCTTCTGCAATGAAAAGCCAGGGCCCATTGCAAAAAGGAGACAAAGCATTAGAAGTCTAGTAAGTCGATGGCTCCGGCCTTCTCCCAACACACAAGTCTTTGGGATCCAAAGACTCAAAAGGCAACTTGAGGGGTGGGCTTTAGCGCCAGAAAAGGGAGGTCAACTCAACTGAGGCATCTTTTATTTCTTTTAGTAGCAAGACTCCCATGTCAAGGCCACAGGCTAGAGGCCAGTCTGCCCCTGACCCCAGGAATGTTTTGCATTCCTCAGAAGACTCTTAATTTTAGTGAATTCCCCAGGATGCTCTGTGTTAGGAGACACTCAGAGCTGGACAGATGGCCCTTGTGTGTGTGAATGCTCTGTGCTCCCTGAGGCTCCTTGTCTCTCCCTCTGGGAGGTCTCTGCTTCCTTTGGCGGCTTCGCATCCTGGCTTGAGGGAAGACCCTGGTTCCTGTGTCTCTCTGGCAGCAGCTCACTGTTCTCAGGAACTAGGGCTCCCAGGCAAGCCCAGGCTCTTTGTGGGGCACTGAACAATTCTCTCTGAAGATTTCTGTGAAGAGCAGTGTCCTCCTGCAAACCTTCCCACCCTTGAAGGTTTCCTGTGACTCCCTGAGCCCAGTGGTTTGAAGAAGGAATCAAAACATGAAACAACATAAAGTCACGTTCTGCAGTCACTCAAATGACAGTTCTGCTGAAATGCAGCACGCTGGGGAGTCATGCATGGCCGTAATACTGCATCTCCTTTTTATGACGCACCTGTTCACAGCAACAGCAATGTCAATACTAGTACTAAGTAGTTCCCCACTCCTGAGCCCTCCAGGAGCCCACCGGGGGGTTGTGGATGCCTGATGAAGTAGCACAAAGTGTGAGGCAGTGGTCTGGAGCTGGGGGGGTCTCAGATGGTCTTGGGCAAGGGCTTTGAAGGCAGGGGAAGCCTCAGAAAGCTATGGCATCCTTCCTCCGCCTTCTAATTTGTACTCTTGGATGGAGCTAGCCTCTCCCTCCATGTGCTGTGTTTCCAGTCTCTGGAAGATAAGAAGGTGAGAAAAGTGAGCAGCTAATAAAGGTGCTCTCGGAAGGTGTCTTCAGGCCAGCCCCTCCTCCCACGTGTTTGGGGAGCAGCTATTGGTTCCGCACTTGTCCCCTCCCCCAGGACTAGATGGGGGAAGGGCCCAAGTGACACAGGTCTTTCTGCTCTGAAGCAAGTCTCAGCAGCACTTCCGGCCACGTGACCTGGTAAAGGCTCCTGGGAAACCCTGTGCTAGCACTTAGGAGTTCTGCGGCTTGCGGTACATAGTCATTCCCAAAGCATTACTGTAAAGGACAAAGCACCATCCCGTTTTCCAGCATGTGCGCACTCAATGAGAAGGCAGTTGTGCAGCACACGCCATTGAAATTTATGTCCATTTGGGGAATATACGATCATCTCCAGCCTGGCTCTGAGACGGGGAGAGAGTCTCTTCCGTTAGCCCAGAGTTGTTATCTGCAATTCAACAAATGGAGTCGGTGAGACCCTTTGACACAGAAAAGGTGGCCAGGTGGTGTGCCAAAGTTTGGAGCGATTACTTGAAATCTAAGGGCAAGCCCTCACAAAGCCTCTTGTACATTCAGAGCACACAATGCCCTTATTACAGAGGGACCACACCCAAGCACACAGCACCCGTAGAGATGTGTGACTGGCTCTCCAGCAGATCAGGTGCTGTCACCAGCCACAGAAGTCCCTTTGGGATCACACTGAGTTCTTGAGCAATTGCTCAGAAAAGGCACTTGTTCTGAATCTCATGTTGGAGATAAGGGGAAAGGGTCACACAAAGCCATGCCCAGGGCCTTAGGAAATCGACTGCTAATGTTAATTCAAAAATGGCCTTGAAAGCGGTTCTCAGAGCCAAGCACAGTGGTGCTCACTTGTCATCCCAGGGAGGCAGAGGCAAGAGGACCAAACCCTGCTACACAGTCAAAACGAGTTCTGGGCCAGCCTGAGCTATATGAGACCTTGTCTCAGGAAAGGAGGATGAGCAGGCAAGACGGCTCACAGGGAAGGGGCCTGCCACTAAGCCTCATAACCTAAGTTCTGGGACCCACATGATGGAGAGAACCAACTCTCATCCGTTGTCCTCTGACCTCCATGGGTGTGTGGTAGACCATGCATGTATGAGTGTGAGGTGTGTGTGGGTGTGGGTGTGTGTGTGTGTTACACACTAAATAAATGTAGAATAAAATGCTTTTTAAAAAGTTAAGTGATTTTCATCTTAACACCACTTATATGAAAATCTATTAGCCTATGTTTCAGAATCTATGTGTCTGTCTAAATTACATCTCAGCACATGAGCTCTTGCACAGAGAACAAAGAGAATTCCCCAGTTGCTTTAGAACAGAGCCTGGTGCCAAGATGCCCCCAGGCAGCCTAGAGCAGGGCAGGCCCTGGGTGGGGGCTTCACCTTGCTGTGGGTTTTAGCAGTTCCCTGGTGGCTTAAACTCCCCACTTAGAAATGGAGCCCGAGTTCTTTCTTCCTGGCTCCTGTGTGAAAGAGTGGGCCAGGAGCTTATCCATTTGCTTTTTACAGACCCTACAAATCATCCTGGGCTGTTAAGAAAATCATGACATTGCCTAAAGATTTCCTGCTGGCCCCATGCTGTAAGAATGGGCCTCCCACTGTGAGCAGGGCTCAGCTCCTTACAGGAATTCCTCAAAGCTCCCTTTGCTGTGGTGTTAAGATTTCTGTGAGGCCTCATCCCCTGAGACCTGAAGGGGTCCTTCGAGCCTCACTCCTCAATATAGGGCCAGCAGAAGTTGAGCCCCAATCCCACATTATTCTTGCCTCACCTGGAATGGGGCTAGGGCCTCTAAGAGTCTGTATCTTTCCTGGATCTGGCTAAGGGATGGAAAACCAATAGCACATTGGGCACCAATGCAACACCATGACAGCCCAGGTGCTCAGCAGCTGAGGGAAGAGTGTCCCTCAGTTAGGGAGTCCAAGCTGAAGACATGGAACACAGAGAGGGGTATGAGTGCGTCGGGAGGGGCATAGTAGGGGCCAGGAAAGATTTGGAAGAGACAATGATCTCTGAGTGAAAACCTGAAGAAGGTGAGGAGTCAGCCTGGCAGTATCTGGAGAAGAGACTGAGGGACAACTGAACACCAGGTGCAAAGGCTGACAGGCACGTTCAGTGCGACCAGACCAGAGGGAGGAAGGTGGGAGGAAACTAAGGACCCAAGATCAGCTGGGAAGGAACTGTCACACTGGCCCGTGTGTCACACATATTGCACCATCACTGTTGCGAAGCCTTATTGAAGAGAGGCCAGAAACTCTAAGATGTTTTATAAAGACCAAGTCTCCTTTTTGCTTTATAAATTCACTAGCTTTCGCATGTGGACATATTGTGTCCTGATCTCAAGTTGGCTGCCAGGGCTCCAGACATTGCATATTATATCCACATGAGACAAGAAGGATGGGGGCCGGAGGGGGGGGGCAGCTCTTCTTTCTACTAAGAAAACTAAAGTTTTCTCCACCCTCCCCTCAAATTCTTTCTCCCCTCTTTGCCCAGAGGTGAGTGTGGGGGCCACTCCTCAAAAGTTATAGGAAAGCCATGACAAGGGTTGCCAAGATTGACTGAAATTGCTGTTCTCGTTTTTCCCACCGTAGTACACATTTTATATCACAGTCTAATACACACCGCTGAAGCGTAAATAACAAAGCCAAACTTCTACAAAATACAACATACGGTGTGTACTGTACACTGCTAGTTTATCAGTTACCTGTTTAAATTCTAGCTACACCATCCCCTTGTGAGTTGTGAGTGTAGCATGAAAAAATACAGGCAGCTCAGGATCCGTCACTAGGGACTAGCATGCTGCTGTTCCTAATAAGTAGGCTTCTCTCTACCGTCTCTCCCTCCCCTCCCCGTCTCTCCTTCCCTCCTTCCCTCCTTTTTCCAAACAAGACAGTGGGTGTCCAGTAGGCAACCGTCGGTAACCACAGTACCCACCAGAAGTGAGGGGCAGCCAACACTGGAGAGCAGGGCCGCCCCTCCTACTCCAGATGAACTATAAGCAGTGTCCAGTGCAGCTGAGGGCGGGCCGAGGAGCCGCAGGGGACCAGACCAGCAGCACATGTCAAAGGTATAAGGAGTGCTCAGGACACCTCAGGCCTATGTCCAAACTAGATGAGACCACAGCATGAACTGGGGCAGAGAGCGTGATTCGTACTAGAAAGCCCCAGGGAGACTTACCCACTCACGTGCTGTTTACCTCTTCACCTGGGCGGTAGTGGATTGGAGAAGCTGGGAGTTATGGTGGAATTGCGTGCATTTGGTTTGTGAAAGCTTTTAGAAGCACCCACATATTGGTCTCAGTTCTAATGGTGCCCAGCATTTGGACTGTGGAAAGAAACATGTATTCCAACAGCAACCGTAGGAACCCCGAGTTGGCAGGGAATGGATCATTGTTGAAGAATACAAGCAAAGGCTGAGCTGGTCACCTTTAGCCCCCTGCAGGTAGGGATGTAGACAGGGAGAGTCTGCACACAGGAAGGGAAGGACAAAGTACAGTCTATATGCTCGCAGTCACCAGCCACAATAACTAGCAAAATTCGCTCAATCTGAGTCCCAGGACTCAAATCCCAGGCTGGTTTTCAAATATGTTGAATACCTCACATTTTAAGAAGATCCACACCACACTCTAAAATGGCCATGTGACCCTAAGAGGATTAGAAGCCAGGGACTGAGCGGAGCTGATTTACATTACAGGGGCAGCCCAGACGTCCTGAGGTCAGGACTGGGGATAGTGACATAAAACAGAGCCGGCAATGCTCCCCTACTCTACAGCCTGCACCCCAGCCGCCCAGTCCCCCTAATTTCCCACAGTGGCCTAGGGTTTGAGGCTCTGCCTCAGCATTGGCAAATCTGTGCTCAGAAGATAGCGCCGGCAGAGGAAGCTAACTTTTTAATTCACCAGCTCGGATTTCTTAATGGAGCTTTCTGAGAAGCCACGCCTTTGCTTGCAGGTGCCACCTGGACGATAAATAGATGTTTCGAGTTTCACACGCTCGCGCGCGCGCGCGCGCACACACACACACACACACACACACACACACACTCCATCCTCCCCAAGATGCACACAGTTGTAGTTGCAGCGCCTGCGCAGAGGCCTTTGTTGAAACCCAAGGATCTGCGTTACCCAGGATCCCTGGCCCCTAGGGCCCAGTCCGGCTGCTTTCTCTCTGCCTCCTGAGGCACCCTCGAGGACTGGGAACTTAAGTGACGCGCGGAACACTTGGTGGTGCCCATGGAGATCAAGCAAGGGGGCAGATGCCCGGGGTCTTCTTGAGGGGCAACGGTAGCAAGCACTCAGGAGGGAAGAGATGGACTGATGGGCAATGCTGTTGACCAGGGAGAAGGGGAGTTCCCAGGGCGAAGAGGGGCGTGTCCGGGGGCGGGAAGAGGTGTGTCTAGGGCGGGCAGGGGCGGACCTGACCCCCTGCAGCAGAGGCCCGGCTCTGAAGCCGGGTGCAGGCACAACTCTGGTGCAGGCGGAGGGACTGCCTTGCTGGTGGCCTCTGGACCACGCGATGACTGGACGGTGAGTGATGCCTAGGCTGCAGAGGTAGTGGGCGTTCTTGGACCACTCCACCCTCGACTCTGGGGCGGCGATCAGGCAGAGAGCGCTGGAGCCTGAGAGCACTTGTGCCCTTCAGCCGCTGTGCGTGAGTCTCCTCCCCCTGCCAGCCTGGCGCACTGGGGGCCTCCAACTAGGGCTGAGAGGGCCACTGTGCCTAACATCTCCTAGGATAAGGCACTTTAGGGGCCAAATCTTAACAGGACACGTGAACCAAACTGCCCGCTACAGTTGGCTCACCTCATCCCTCCTCTCAGCCAGTCTCCTAGAGACATGGTCTCAGAGCGGGAAGAGGGCTTCCAGCAAAACTGTCTGATTTCACAGATGGAAACCCAACGCCAGGATGATAGCTCACCGAGGCACTTGTTTCTCAGTCGCTGTTTGTGATGGTCGGCCGTGAGCAAAGGGCTTTAATACAATATACCACTCACTCCTCACTGCGCGGTCACAATATTGCTTTCTTTATCCCCATTTTCAAATGTGAAACTGAGGCTAGCCGCGTACGCAGGCTGGGGCTCTTGCTCAGCTGGTGGAGCGCTTGTGTAGCACTCGTGAAGGCTGGATTCCATCCCAAGCGTTGCATAACAAAAGCAGGGGAGGGGGCCTGAGAGGTAGAACGTTGGGGAACTCTACCTCCAAACCTCTTTAACTTCACTCCTTGGACTGTGGTTCGCCTGTGGTCCCAACTCTTAGACTGCCCGTGCCAAGACAGCCAGAACCCTTTAAAGCCCCTGTAAGGGAGTTTAGAAATCCCACCCACCTCGTTGGGAATTAAAGGATGTCACATAGCAGGTGAGGGCCGGGATCCAGGAATTGAACCCAGGCAGCTTATTCGCCCAAGTGACACACTACGCTGGCAGGGGCGACCCTGCTGCCCTTGCTGCAGTTCGCCTGCAGGTACGAGGGTATCACCCAGCCCTGCCAGAAGCCGTGGGAAGCAAACACAACTGAGGAACAGGAGGACAGGTAAACACAGACCTGCCTGCGGCTTCCTGTTCCCCCAGGAGGCTGGAGGTGGGGAGAGGAACCTTAGCGGGAAGGAAGGGACTGAGGGAGAGAGGAAGGGAGAAAAGAGAAGAGGAAATTCGTCTTGGGTTAAACTATTGCTTGCTGGAAATTACGCTAGGGTGTGTTTCAGCACGTTGTTGTGTGTGTTTAACAGCTTGAGTCCTAACTCTGGGTAGCGATCACACTTGCAGACTTGATGCTGAGTGAAGGCTGATGCACAGATTGGAGTGTCCATCTGACACCCAGGAGAGTCGGAGGGTGACGTGAGGTTGAGAACAGGATTAAAGTCAGGTCTCCTGAGTCAGAGCCAGCAGGACTGTGGGACAGGGAACCAGAACTGAGTGTAGAAGTAGAAGCTCATGCAGGCAAGTCTCTGAGGAGACAGGCTGACTACTGGCTCTACCGGGAAGCCCTCTGCACTATGCCCCTAGGGACCTGAGTCCTGGTTTCAGGGCTAAATTCTACCTGACTCCTGACTCTTAGGAACCATTTCTCGTCTTTGAGTCCCACATTCCCTTCTTCGAACATTGCTATCTCCACGGTGCCTGAAGCCCAATGTCAACAGTGTGTGTTATGGATGAACCCTTCAGATCATAATTGTTTAACTGGTGAGGAACTTCAGTTCAAAAATAGAAAGGGTTTTGACAGGGTCTGTGCAATCATCGGGGCAGGGTAAGCTTTGAGCCCAGACATTGGAAAGGCTCAGTTGTTTAACCTCTTAAAATTACATTGAAGAAAACATTTTGAAATTGTTTTTATCATTATCATCATCATCATCATTATTGTGTGTGTGTGTGTGTGTGTGTGTGTGTGTGAATCACATGTTTGTGTGCATGCTGTGGGTCACATGCAATGCCATGCTGCACGTGCAGAGGTCAGAGGACAACTTTGTGAAGTCGTTTATCTCCATCCCCTTTTCCATGAGTTCTGAGGATTGAACTTGGGTCCTCAGGCTTGGGCGGCAAGTGCCTTTACACACAGAGCCACCTTGCTGGCCCTTGAAACTGTTTAAAAGTAACCGCCCAACAGCTCAGAAGTGGCTGCTTGCCCAAAGCTTCTGCAGTTTCCCCACACTTGTAGCTCCCTGAATCTCCTGCCTGCCGAAAGGGACTTCCTCTGGGACATACCCTGAGACAGAATCGGAGCCCCGCCCATCCCCTTGCCTGACCTTTAGTATCAGAGATGTGGGTTGTGATATAATCCCCTAGCTTCAGTCCCGAGAAGCACCCGAGGGACACGCTGGACCAGCTGCCGTTACAACTGGCTAACTCAAGACCCAGTGATGGCAGAACAGTTGGGGGTCACACATCAGCTCAGAGAAAAGCTCAGCCAGAATGTTTTTCTGGGATACAGCACATTTTCAGCCTGGGATCTGGTGCAAGTGGAAGCAGGCATCCTGATTCACTTATGGTAGCATGACAATCCATGTGTGCACTTGCATACACACGTGAGCACAATCACACTCACACATTTTTCTCAGTCTGGGATGAAGGTGTTATGTTTTCAGAAGAATCCATGTCCCAAAGGATTCTGGGACCTAGCACCTTGTCTCCAGAGAAAACTCCCAGCAGCTGCGCATGTCGCACAGGCTAGGGCAAAGGTCGCATGGGCATAGCAGACACTAGAGTGCCCAGGACAACCTGGCAGCAGCTGGCACCAAGTAGTCAGGGGGTCTGCTCAGCTGGGCTGCACTCCTGGACCCAGGCCGTTGGAGTGGTTGTTTGGCCCCCAAATCATAGCTGTGTGGATAAACAGTTTCCATGAATCCTTCCTCCCTTCCACAGGTCGGGAGTGAGCCTGAAGGGGTGAGGACCCAGAGCCAGGAAGTGTGAGTAGATTACGTGAGGAGTGGGAGGGCTGGAAGTGAATTTATTGCCTCAGCTTACAGGAAAGAACACTGGAGGGCAGCCTGTCCTGCAGGTGTGTGGGTGAGGCGCTGCCTCTGGGCTACAGTTTACATCAGGAAGTCACAAGGGAGGGGAGACGCTGGCCTATAGTCTGCAAAGGGACCAAGGACAAGGACCAGTCTCTTCAGAGGAAGGGGAACATTGCCAAGGAAGCCTATATTGGCAGAACAGGTTCATATAAAGTCACCAGGACTGGAGGGGACATACAGCAGAGATGGCCTGGCTAGGGTGGTCCGCCATGGTCAGGCAGGAATGGAGATGGCGATGTCTGTGTGTGTGTGTGTTTTCTGTCTTCCCTGGACCCCCGTCACCCCCAACTGGCACTGTACACATCCTCTCAGGGCTCCCCAGCTGGTGAGACTCAACAGCCTAGGACTAGAGCAGGAGGGAATATGGCTGAGCCAGAGGTGGGTAATGGCAGGGGAGGGGAGGGGACCTTGGAACCAGACAACAGGAGAGGACAGCAGCCGCTAAGTAGCTGGTGATCTAGGTGGCTGTATTGCTACGGCCAGCCCAGCAGACAGCCTGTGTCCAGCCAGATGCCCTCAGCAGGCAGCTGGCTCCTCTCTGGGGAAGCTCTGGCCTGTGAAGGCTGACAGGTGCTGGGAGGGCCTTTTAGAGGCTCATTGTTTTCAGCCCGGGCTCCTGGCCCCGGCATTAGGAGGCAGTTGTGCAGGGCAGTGTAGCCTGCACCTGCCTTCTCTAAGTGTAGCAGCCCTGCTGGAGGCGCTTGGCTGTGCCTGGCTGTGTCCTCTTCGGTCTTGCGGGTCAAGCCACTTTGTTTCTTGTTTGGTTTGAATCACACCTAAATATGAATCGTGCCAGGAAAGGTTAAAACAGAGGCAGCCAAGCTCTCGGGGTTCACTGACCAACTTACATTTTTACTTTCAACATCGACCCATTGCCCGTATTGCCAAGTAAGGACAGAACCCTCTCCATTCACCAGTGTGGGAAGCATCCTCTAAGACTGAAAAGCAGGCCACACATCAGCTCACAGTAAAAGGCTGTTCGCTGCACTCAAGTTTATTTCCTGAATATTCCACTCCAGTGGTGTTCCCTGGCTTGCTCCTTCTGCGACCGATCCCGAGGGGATGGTCCCACAGTGACCCAAAGAATCGGAACTGGCCTTCCTCTGTGGAGAGAAAAAGACAAGGGCCGAGACCTCGGCGATGTAAACACTCCGTGGCCTTTGTCACCGCACAGAGGGCTGTGTGCCAGCTGTCGCTGCCTCCACAGGCCTGGCAGAACAGAGCAGCCGCTCAAGCGGAAAGTGGGGACAACTCACTCATTGTCTGTTCACCGAGGGAAGGTAGCCAGGTAGCTACCTCCTGAGGCTCCTCTGAGGAGCAGAGAATGCGTCTATACCAGCCAGAGAAGTGAGCTTGGAGGCCTGAGCTTTGTGTGTTGGGGGGTGGGGGCGCAAGACCAGGACAAAGGCTGCTGGGGGAGGCAGAGAGAGAGGAGTGGCCTGCTGACTCTGGCTGTCCAGTTACATCTGTGGCTGCTTTTCAAACTTGCCAGGGTGGCAGGCCAGGCCAGGCCAGCTGCATCTTCTCCCCGTCTACTTCTACCAAGGAGCATCTCTCTGCACACTGAGCCTCTGCCTCAGATTCAGTTCCAGCTAAGAGGAGGAGTATAGTTTTTGATTGCAGAAGATCAAAAGGAGACCACTGAAGATGCTTGCCTTTGGACACCCTGCCCAGAACACAGGGAGATTCGGCACTAGGGAAGCAGCTTCAGGAAAACGACCCAAATCGAGAGACACTCCACTTTGCTTCCTGACAGGAGTGGAAGTGTTCTCTCTTCAAGCTCTCCCTGTCAGCAAGTCTCTAGAACACCCCTTAGGTACACTGTGCAACTCGCT